CTTCGAGCTTTAAACCACAAGTGTATCCTCCTGGATTGTTCGAGCGGGTCGTTTGTTGTCGTTTGCACTGTGTGCCAGAGATACACTAGTGGAGCCCGCCTAGCAGCTCTCAATAAAATTTGTCCAGGTCAGAAAGCTTCGGCTTACAACTCTGACGCTTGGAACAATATTTGTAAGGGACTCCATCCTAAAGCGAAAGGGGTCACCTTACTCTCAGACACTTACAGTGTGCTTTAAGCATGCAGCGGGAGCCAAAGTGCCTCTTTTTTTTTTTAAAAAAAACCCAAAAAAAAAAAAAAAAAAAAAAAAAAAAACTCCTCCTCCTCCTCCTCCTGCCTCAGTCGCCCGACTGAGGCAGAGGGTGGGATACAGGTCTGCTGCGCGTGCTCGGTATAACTCCCGGCGCGCCCTCGGCGCGCGGTGCCCGCGCGCGGAGGGGCTACGCGGAGCGAGACCGCGTGTGGCCCGCAGCGGCAGCAGGAGGAGGAGGAGGAGGAGGAGGAGGAGGAGGAGGAGGAGGAGGAGGAGGAGGAGGAGAGGATGAGGAGGAGGAGGAGGAGGAGGAGAGGAGGAGGAGGAGGAGGAGGAGGAGGAGGAGGAGGAGGAGGAGGAGGAGGAGGGGGCCGGGACTCTCCCTGCCCTGGGCCTGTCGGGGAGCGAGCGGGCGGAGGGCCGGAGAGGGCCAGTGCCCGGCGAAGGAGGGCGAGGGGCGGCCGGACGCTGCAGCAGCCGCGCGGAGGAGGGGGAAGCTGGAGGCTGGAGCGGCCCGCCTCCGGAGAGGGGCCGTCAACCCGTACAGCAAGCATGCGCGGTATAGGGCGAAGAGAACTATTCACATGCACCGATCCTGGTAAGGCCCATCCTTGACCCAGGATCGGTGCATATGCTTTCCTGCCCCCTGTAGAAGGGCGTATGCACCGATCCTGGGCTCAGCATGGGCCTGGCCAGAATCGGTGTATGTGCATAGTTCTCTTTCCTCTACGGTGAGGATGCAAGGACCCCGGACGCCCATCTAGAAGCCCTTCGAGCGGGGCGCGGCCAACGAAAGCAGCCAAGGATGGGGCGAGGAGGCCAGGGATGCAAAGGCACCCTCGGGAAGGCTGCCCATCCTTCCTAGGCGGGTCGACCGTGCGTCCAGGAAGCGGAGGGGCGAGCGAGCGAGCGTCCGGCCCCGTCTGGCCATGGGGCCGCGCCCGTTTTGCTGGGGCGGGGCGGGTTCGGCCCTGGCCCCATGCAGAGGGACGACGCCGTGCACGCGCGTACCCATCGGTCGGCAGAAGTGGGCGGAGGCAAAGGGGTGGGAAGGCGCTGGCAGTACACCCCTGCTCAGAATTCACACAGCTTCCGCTAAGAATGTCGACTTCACCCCACGCGTGCTTTGAAGCAGTAGTCCAGGTTCAGAGATACCAACGCTCTGCGAAGAAGAGAGGGCTCCAAGGAAACGCCCAGGGTACGATCCCGATTCTCGATGTCTTTGATAACGAAATCTGGGGCCCATGGACGACGTCTGGAGCGCTGACGCCTGATGGGTGCTGAGTGGGCCGTCGGCCCGCCTGTGGCCGACGGGCCCCCCCCACCGCTCCCTCGGCCTCCCGCGTCCCAAGAGAGGAGGAGGAGGAGGAGGAGGAGGAGGAGGAGGAGGAGGAAGAGAAGGAGGAGGAGGAGGAGGAGGAGGAGGAGGAGGAGGAGGAGGAGGATGAGGAGGACGAGGAGAGCGTGCCGCAGGAGGGCGAGGGCACGCCCGAGGCGCGGCCCCTGGAAGGCCTGCGAAGGCCTGCGCCGCCGCGGCGGAGAGCCCCGCGGCGCGAGGGCAGGAGCAAGGAGGAAGGGCAAACACCAGCAACCAGCCAGGGGCGAGGAGCTGCGAGGAGGCTAAGGGGTGGTCTCCCTGGTGGTGTGGTCCCCCCCTCTCGCTCGAGACATCCCAGGCCTCCAGCTCGGGGAGGCATCGCGGACCTCCTCGCTGGAAGTGGCCCCCCTGGGGGTGTTGGTGTCGCTTCCCCTCCCTCCGAAGGGCTTTTTCCCGCAACACACCATGGGTGACACAGCCACATCGCAATCCAAGAATCGAAAGGCAACCCAGGAGCAACACACACGCCGACATGCCATAGACAACCTTTCTCTGCACCGAACCGCGGCCTGAACACCGAATCGACGATGCGCTCCGCGGCGCGCAGAAGGGGGGTGGGGATAGGGGGTGACATCGAGAGGGGGGACGGGCGAGCAGTGGCACGCGCTGGAGGCGTGAGCGGAGAGGACAGAGGATGGAGGTCCACGCCCTTCCCACCGGCGAGACTGAAGAGGTGGGGGGGAGGTGGGGGGGGGGAGACCGAGGTCGGTCGGTCGAGCCAAGCGCCCAAACGGCTCATTGGCAGACAACGTTTGCGCATGCAGGACTGCGGAGGAAGGGAGGAGGAAGGGAGGGTGAAGGGACGAGAACGAGGAGGAGGAGGAGGAGGGAATGGAGAACAGAACAACCAGACTTGAAGCCAACGTTCTGGCAGAGGCTCAGAAACGCAAGGGTCCCATGTTGTTTAGGCCTTCCCCTGCGTCGTCAGGGAGATCGAGGGACTGAGGGCCGATACTGATTGGCACTCCTTCGCCCCGTTTTTGGGGGAGTCTCATGGGGCGTCCTCTGATTAATTCTTCCAGCGCCTTTCCATGAGGCGGTGGGCAGCCACGAACCGCTAGTCAGTGGACCGATCTGTCGAGGGGAGGGGGGTACGGCCAGACCTAGGACACAATAACCTCCTTCAAGCACATGAGTCCCTCCGCCAGCCAAACCGAAGAACGGTCGAGGGTGCCCTCCCCCAGGATGCACGAGAGCAACCGACAAGCGCGAAGAACATGAGGGTAATTACTCTCCCCGAGCCGACCTCGATCTTTCGGCGGCGAGCGAGGGGGGGAAATGAGAAGGAGAAGGCCGTATCAGAAGGCGGCGTCGGAAACCCTCATGCTTTCCGCGCGCGAAGTTTCCCTTGTCTTCGGGGAAGGCTTCGGGCACTCCTAAGACGGCCATGGAACCTCCGAGCCTTCCGAGAAGGCCCGCCCCTTTTCACCTCACCCCCTCGCTCGCCGCCGAATCTTTACCTCGGTCCGACCGTATGATGTAAGGACCGATTGATTAGAGGCCTCCTAGATGGGTTCCGAAAAGATGGGGTCGGATCGCGCCGTATCGCCGATGCATCGCCGAGGTATCGGCGATGCATCGGCGATGCATCGGCGATGGATCGGCGACGTCGGCGATGTATCGGCGACGGCGGCGTGGACATCGAGCCGCATCGGCGAGGTATCGGCGATGCGGCGCGATACTCCGACCCCATCCACTCCGACCCCGTCTGGGAGGCCTGGGTGGATGGGGCGCGCCCAAGCTGTCCGAACACTAGCCGCCGCTGAATGGAGCACTACCTGCCAAAACTATGGGGCCCGCCGCGCTCCCAGCTTCTTGCGAGCGCCCCGGCGCGCGGGCTGGAGCAGCGGGCTTGGGGGGGCACCCGCGGGGGCGCCCTGCACAGCAAGCGCCGTCGGGGCTCCGCGAACGGGCGCATGGCTGAATGGGGGTCTGGGCTTTCCCAGTTTTGCCCCCGTCTGCGATGCCCCCCGTCTTCGGCGGCGCTGCAGGGCCCCCTGCACGGGGGCAGAGCCAAACGGGGAGCTCGGCGTTCCCCGTGCCCCCGCTTGCTGTGCCCCCGTCTCCGGCGCCACTGATGCCGAAGGCTTCCTAACCCGTCAGGGATCGGAAAGATCGAGGGGGGAGATCGTCGAGGGGAGCGGGGCTGCTGGGGCGCTGCGCGGCCATGGCTCGAGGGGCTCCTTGGGCGTCCTCGTCGCCACGGCTGGATCCGCCAGGAGTCCTCCTCCTCCTCCTCCTCCTCCTCCTCCTCCTCCTCCTCCTCCTCCTCCTCCTCCTCCCCCCTCTTCCTCCTCCTCCTCCTCCTCCTCCTCCTCCTCCTCCTCCTCCTCCTGTCCGCTCTCTGCTCCCTGCTCCTCCCTCCTCTTCTCCCCTCCTCCTCCTCCTCCTCCTCCTCCTCCCCCCTCCTCCTCCTCCTCCTCCTCCTCTCCTCCTCCTCCTCCTTCCCCCCTTCCTCCTCCTCCTCCTCCTCCTCCTCCTCCTCCTCCTCCCCCTCCTCCTCCTCCTCCTCCCCCTCCTCCTCCTCCTCCTCCTCCTCCCCTCCTCCTCCTCCTCCTCCTCCTCCTCCTCCTCCTCCTCCTCCTCCTCCTCACCTCCTCCTCCTCCTCCCTCTCCTCCTCCTCCTCCTCCTCCTCTCCTCCTCCTCCTCCTCCTCCTCCTCCTCCTCCTCCTCCTCCTCCTCCTCCTCCCCCTCTGCTCAGAACGCACCCCACGACGAGTCCCGGGGACGATCTTTGAGGCAGGAGGGGGGCGGGGAGGAGGTGGAGGGGGTTCTGCCTCTCCGAGGGCCCGTCCTGGGCCCCAGGGCCGTCAACAGGAACGATCCTGGACGAGAAGCCGGCCCCGGGGAGTGGGGTCGAGGTCCCTCGGGGCCCACGTCATGAGCAAGCTGCGACGCGCAGGAGTCGGAGCAGAGGGGAGGAGGGGAGGTTGCCATCGCTCGGACGTCCATGTCACGTGAATGTTTGGATTTAGAGTGTGTGTGTGTGTATTTATGGGCTCGGTGATCAAGGATGCTCCTCGATGGCGCTGGCCGGGGAAAAAAACAAGAACATGGCTAAGCATAAACTGTTGGCGTTCCGCGCGGATTTCTTGAATCTGCGCTGAACACCCCCTCCCTGAAGCGCGGAGCGCGCCAGGGGCGGCGCCCGAGGCGCCGCCGGGGGGGCCGAGCGCGGATCTAAGAAATCCGCGCGGAGCGCCACAAGTTTATGTTTATGCCCAGTGTTTTTTCGCTTCTCGAAAAGAGGCGTACGTTCGAGCGATGCCAAGGGAGGGGGGGGCGCGGCAGAGTCCGTGCTGAGCCGCATGGGCTGCTCGGCGTCCGCTCGACGGCTCGGCGCCCCCCCGTGGCGCCTCCGGGGCCTCCTCAGGCGTCGGGCTGGAAGAGGGCGGTGAAGTACTCCTGCGGGCAGGCGGAACTGCACCACCGCCGATCTGTAGAGGCCTCCCAGATGGGGTCGGAATAGAGTCAACCCTTATAATGAGGATGCGCGGCAAGGATGCAAGGGCCTTGGGGGCCATGTTGATGCTTGTTGAACGAGCTTGGCAAGCGAGAGCCATCGAGAATGGGCCGAAGGAACAAGGATGCGAGGGTAGCCTTGGAAAGTTGCTCATCCTCACTATGCGGATGGAGTCGGAGGATCGCGCCGCATCGCCGATGCGTCGGCGATGCATCGACGACGCATCCGCGATACGTCGGCGACGCGTCGGCGACGTCCGCGAGGAGAAAAACGGGCTCCACATCGAGCCGCATCGCCCATGCATCGGCGATGCGGAGCGATCCTCCGACGCCATCTACTCCGACCCCATCTGGGAGGCCTAGAACCACCGCCGTTTTCCCCAACAGCCTCCAGGAGCTGGCCAGGCATGTGGACCAAGCAGTGGCCATGATTTGCAAGGACCTTGCCCGCTATGGAGGGTAAGGGCCGATGCTTCACCCCAGGCAGCAATCCGACGCCGACGATCACCGATACATCATCTCGTCATCTCCGGTTGAACCGCAGATAAACTTCAACATCATCGATTGCCATCGCTTTCCCCCTGCCAGTGTACAGCAGGACCTACAATTCTACAGCGTCCACGGAACAATGCCATAAGCAGGGAGAGACAGGGATCGAGAGGCGGAAAGAGAGAAAGAGAGAGAGAGAGAGAGAAAGAGAGAGAGAGAGAGCTCTGGCGCAAGTGCGATGCTCCCCAGAAGCGATGCTTGCACTGAGGGTTTGTTCGTCCTTGCTCGGCGCTCTGGGTGGGCTTCCTCTCGCCTCTCGCCCGGCGGCCGCCTCCGCGCCCGCGCCTCCATGGCCGCCTCCGTGCCTGCCGCCGTGCCCGCCTCCCTGCGCTGGGCTGGTGCTCCAAAAGGGTGCGCCTCTCGTGGCCGCCGTGCCGGCCCCGTGCCCGCTGCGCGCACTGTCTGGCTGTGCCGGGCGTGCAGGGGCAGGGGAGGGCGGCACCAACACCACCAGGGCGAGGAGATGCGAGGAGGCAAGGGGGGGCCCTTCTTGTGGTGTGGTCCCCCCCCGTCTCGCTCGAGACATCCCTGATTGACCAGGCACCTGTGCCACTGGGTGCCTTCGTGCGTCCCGGGAAAACGAGCGGGAAGCAGCCCATCCGTCACCCCTGTTTGCCCGAAGCGGGCCAGGGGGGGAGAAAATGGCACACTCGTCGCCACGTTGAGTCCCCCTTGCGGTGGCCCACCTGGTACCCCGCCAGGGCTCGGGTTGGGACGCGGGTCGCCTACGGGCGGCTCACCGCCTGGCCTGGGTGCCTGGGTGCCCCGCCCGGTGCGAGCGGGGGTGGGGAGTCGGCCGGGGGAGTGGCGCCCCTCGGCTGGCTTGGGGCGGCACTGGGTGTGTCTACGGGGCGGGCGCGGCTCGAAAATGTTCTGGTGCTGAGCCTAGGGGTGGGACTCGCCGCGGCAAAGCCCGCGCAGAGCGATCGCTAGGCTTGCGCGCGTGAAGAGCGCGCACACGAGCGCGGAGAAACCAGTATCCGCCGAGGGCGAACGCGGCCCGTTCGGCCGCTTCTCTGTCCTTTTTGTGGGCCTGTTTTAATATTACGACGTGATGGCGGGCATCCGGGGAATCCTGGAAGTCCTTGATTAACCACTAAAGGATCCATAACGCTTTGGGAGGGGACCTAAGGTAGGAGGGCCAGGAACATTAGGGATAGGGGTCTTTTCTGCAGGTGTATCGGACCAAACCGCCAAGAATTATTATTCCCATTAAGAAGACGGAGACCTCAGCGAGGCCACGTCTTCATCGTGTTTTTAGGGTTAGGGGTTCTTTTGTTCTCAATGGCCCGATGAGTCGATTTCGAGACATAGCTTGCGCCACATGTACTGCCGACTCCACAACTTCACGACATCGTTCGCGCCGCCTGTATCCTGAATGTGTATAATTCGGTGCATATGTACATCGTGTGTGCGTTGTTGTGCGCTCATATGTATATACATATACATACATATGTATATATGTATTTATATACATTAGTATGTACATATGTGTAGATGACTGTATACATATCCGCCACCGTGCGGCGAGGCGCAAGGGGAATTGTCCCCATGCTCTCATGTGTTCTCTGTCCTGAGTCATGTGCTCTAGTATTGGGCTGGGGCCCCACATTCTCGGACTGTCCGGCCTCCAATTAGCAGAGCGGCGCTCTTCTAATTTGCCTCCGAGCATCCGCGTTCGCTGCTCCTCCTCTCATGAGCAGAGCGCTGCTCTGCTACTTGGCTTCAAAGCAGGGTTCCCCATCCTGTTCGGGCTCTGATTAGCAGAACGCGGTTCTGCAAATTTGCCTCAGGGCATGTGCGCCTTCACTGCTCCTCCTCTGATTAGCAGAAAGCCGCTCTGCTAATTTGACTCAGAATACGTGCGCTCGCTACTCCTGCTTTATTCATCCGTGGACCCCACAACGGCCAAGCTGGCCCCGAGAAGCGCCCAAGATGAGATAAGATAAGATAAGAGAAGATAATATAAGATAATATAAGATAAGATAAGATAAGGCAGCGCCTCAGAGAGGGATGGTGCAACAAGCGATTCACATCAGAAGCGCACAGGCCCTGGTGCCCGTGCAGCTCTGCGGAACGGTCGGCGACTTTGCCAGGGCGTCCATTCGAGGATCGTTGGGAAGTCGTCCGGCCGATTCTAAACATTTTTAGAAAAGGTCATAGAATGGTCAAAAGAGAAACATTACACCGACTGCTCTTTCAGTCGAATCCTCTCGGCGAGGGCAGCCATCCTCGCAGCGTAGGACGGGGGGCCCTCGGAAGACAGAGATCTGGAAACGCGGGCGGCCTCAAGCCCAGGCCGCTTCGCGGCGAAATTCACGAGACCGCGGGCTGGGAGAGCGGCGTCAACCTTTCGCGCGAGCCTCCTATGTGGGCCCACGCCTTCGCGAATATCGGAAAGCACTTCGAGCCCCTTCCTGGTGGGGGGCTCGCACCTACGACGCAATCTGGAGCGCCTGGGCTGCTGGGCCCAGGCGCCGCAGTTAGTGCAAACATACGCGGGGATGCAGCAGCCAGGATTCGCAGGAGACGGTCCTCCCTGATTGACTGCTACCAACGAGCGCCCAGGCAGATCACGCGCAAACGCGCTGAGGCACGCAGGCATGCCCCTACACCCAGACAGCGGCTTGTCATGCGCGTCGCGCGCGATGCACAAACACTTCGCACGCTGATCACCAAACACAGCGCGACGCCAATCGTGCCAACTCGTGCGCTGCACATGCCCTACTGGCTAAGGCGCTCACGCATGTCCAACGAACCCCATTCTCGAAGAGGGGAAGGACTAACGATGCAAGTCTGACAGAGTTGGCAGCGACCCGCAACCCGTCCTCCAGCTGCGGCTCGAGCTCGAAGGGCAGGGAGGCGTGCAGGGAGGCCGCCTTCTTGGCGTACACGTATGCAACGACATTGGCGTCAGTCAACCTCTTGGCAGAATCGGTGAGAGTGGAATTCTGTTCAGAAGACCGATGAACTTTCACGCGCTGCACTAGGCGAACGCGGTGGAAGCCGGGCATCCGTTGACCAAACAAGTTGACACAGCCGTAACGAGCTCCAACCCGCAACTGATCATCAGGGCTCCTGGCTGCTTCAATCACGGCTGCCATATAATCTGCGTGGACATCAGCAGGATGATCCGCCACCTGTCCAACGTCTGCCAGCGGAAGGCGTTCAGCCAGAGCCGATCGTTGAGGTAGAGATCCAGGGACTGCTCCAAACATCACTCGGAGTGGCCTGTCGCCCAGAGGATCCAAGAGTGCAATGGCCCAGCCAGCTCGGCGAGCTGCGTCCAGCAGCGGCACGCTGCAGGACCCGTCCACTGCGAACGCTGCTGCCAGGACGCCGGGGCCGAGGATGTTGCAGAAATCTTCGGGCTCACAGTCGAGTTCGTTACCTGCGTCATCGAGGATGTGAACCTTCGCGCCGTCGTCGAGCGGCGGGGGGAGGCTCTCCTCATAGGAGAAGGCGCCCGTGACATAGCGCAGGTCAATCTCATTGTCGCAGCCCTCCTGCACGAACTGCGCGCTGACCTGGCCCTCGACGCGGGCCGCCAACACGTCGGCCCTAGTGCAAGTGTAAAGTCGGTGGTGAACCGCGTCAGCTCGGCCGCGCCTGCAGAGGCCATCAGCGTCATAGCCTCGGTCCAGGGCGCGGCTCTTGGTCCACAATCCCTGGCAGGCACAAGTTCGGATGAGGAACATCTGGGACTTGCTGTGTTTCCTGGGGCGCTCTCGCACAGCACCCTGGATGAGGTCGTAGGTCATCCGGGCTCCAGCTGGGAGGTCCCGCTTATCTGCTAACTGGCACTGAAGCATCCGCTTCATGGCCTGAGTCAGTGGGTCCTCGAGCACTGCGGGCGTGAGTTGATCGACTCGAACTTCCTGGTCAAGGTGATCACGCCAGAGGGCGCCGCTGTGGGCGATCCAGCCAACTCGCTCCAGACATAGGGCTGCGCGCTCAAGCGGCCCACGAGAGTTAGCCCAGTCGTAGGGCCTGCCAGGGTAGGTAACTGCAGAGTCCCACCAGATGAGCAAATCTTCTTTGGAAACCAGTGCCCTATCAGGCCGAGCGACGGCCTCCCATAGCATGCGACTCCACTGCGCTACAGGAGCGATGGCTTGGCGAATTGCAGGGTCGCCGTCAAGAGCTAATTTGGCCGTCGCAGAGGTGCCTCCATGATAAGGCTTGACTTGGCGACCATACGCTCGACGAAGTTCTGCAAGCTCAGAATTACTAACTCCATTGACCTCGACTCCAAAGGTGCAAGCGGGTCGCGCCCCAGTGCGGTAAATGCGACCAAGTCAGATATCCTTCTTGACTGGCATAGCCCGCCTGTACTTGGCAAGCTTCCTCATGCGCTTCTTGTGCCGAGCGAGGCGACTGCGCTGCTTGACTCGAACTCCAGCTGCCCGTCGAGCTCGACCAGCTGCATAGCCAACTCCAAGGTAAGCCACTGCGTTCCTGACGGCAGTTCCGACAGGAACTTGGAGCCGCATGGCTACAGCACGTCCGATGTCAAGGCTGGAGGCTACGATAGCAAGCTTGTCATTGACGCGCGAGAGCCCAACCTCTGAGCTACCCTCTTGAAGTCCTCCCCAGCGATAACAGCCTGCTCCGCCATTATGCAAGAATCAGCATCGTGGACTCCAATGGCAGTGTCACCCATGTAACTTGAGAAACTTACCAGTGGATGCAGGCACACGTATGAATCATATTCATCAAGAGCGTGAACTTTGATTGCGATGCCGGCGACACCATCACCTGCTGGCACCCCGCGCCAGGCAAAGCAGGGACAACCTCCATGATGTCGCTGCGGTCGAATAGTACGAGGATTCCACGCATTGAAGGTCAACTTCGTAAAACCTGTATGAGCATTCATCTGATTGAATTTAGAGAAGCGCCCAAGAGGGTCCGAGAGGCGCCCAAGAGCGCTCCAGGACGCCCAAGATGGCCCAACGACGACCCAAGAGGCCCCAGATTAGCCCCACGATCGCTCCAAGAGGACCTCCAAGACGGCCCCAATATGCAAACACCACGTATTTCCCTTATGTGCGTCACTGTGTTTCGTGGTCACGCATGTTCAGGCTTCCGACGCTCCAAGATGGCCCCAGAGGCCCCCATAACCGCCCCAAGACGGCCCAAAAGGCCCCCAAGAGGGCCCCAAGACGGCCCACGAGGGCACCCAAACGGCCCAAGATGCGTCCAAGACGGCCCAACTGAGCCCCAAGACTGCCCCAAGATGGGCCCAAGAGGGGGAACACGAACCGACAATTCGAGCCTTCCGCTTCAAGAAGCCCCCATGAGGCCCCAAGAGGCCTCCAAGAGGCCCCAAGAGGCGCCCTAGAGGCCCACAAGAGGCTTCACGAGGCCCCCAAGAGGCCCAACACGAGGCCCCAAGAGGCATCCACACGTCCCTCAGGAGGCGTCAACACTGCCAGCAAGAGACCCCCGAGAGGCCCCCCACGATACCCTAACGAACATCCAGGAGGCCTGTGGTGGTTGGATGGGCCGAAGGCCACTAGATATACATATTCATGTACATGTATACAGATATAGACATAGCAGCGTGGCACCCACACCATGTGTAGCTTATATGGTAGGGTATGTGGTGCAAGCTATGTGTGACAACGCTTGATCGATGCATGTGTAAGCTGTGTGGTGGAAGCTGTGTGACGCCAGCTGTGCGGTGCAAGTTGTGTGGATTGAGCTATGGGGTGAAAGCTATGCTGCGCATGCATCAGCTACGCGATTGAGGCTATGTGCTGTCCACTCCGTGGTGCCATCAGTGTGGTGGAAGTTCCACGGTGCCCGCCTTGGGGTGTGGGGTGCAAGCTCTGTGGTGCAAGCTATGTGGTGCAAGCTGCGTGGTGCAAACTGCGTGGTCAAGCCAGCGCGCGGGCGCTCGCGCGGACGCAATGAAACGCACCCATGGGTGGGCCCAGGCCGAATCCACGGCACACCCACTAAGCGCACGGTGCGCTCACGAGGTGCCCCTTGGCTGTGCACCAGCTGAAACTATTGCACACCCATCCAGATGCTTAGCAACGCAAGCAACAGCCCCCAAGTACAAACATTGCTGGGACTATCTAAACGTGTGATGTTGCAGCACGCGGCCTGCGCCGCGGTTCCTTCAAAGCATAGGCTGCACGTCATAGCTTGGACCAGATAGCGTGCACCAAATATGCTGCACTCCACATCGGGCGTTCTGCAAAAAAATGGGACGCAGTGCGCACGAGCGCGTGGTCGCGCGCGCATGCCTGAATCCTTCAAACACCTTTGATTTCGGAAGGAATTCAAAATCGAGCTTCCAAAACAACATACAAAGCCACACGGTTTCACAACACCGATCTGCCAACAAAAATTACGCGATCGCTCTTGCGAAATCTTAAGAAACCCATGGGTTGTACACGAGTTTCAAAAAATGCTACCAAACTGGCTTCGCGCGCGCATGTCGAAATCTTTCGAACGCCCTTGCGCGCGTGCCGTCGCGAGAATCCTCCGCAAAAAAACGTGACGAAGTGCGCACGCGCGCGTCGTCGCGCGCGCATGCCGAAATCCTTCAAAAAGCTTCGGTTTCGGAAAAATGTCAAAATCAAGTGTCCAAACAACAAACAAAAACACGGGGTTTCGCAACACGGAGTTTCAACAAAAGCGTGCGCGCGCGTTCTTGCGCCGTCGTCGTCGTCGCCGTCCTCCCACCTCCCTCGTCGTCGTCGTCGTCGTCGTCGTCGCCGTCGTCGTCCTCTGTCTTTTCTCGTCGTCGTCGTCTTGGCGTCGTTGTCGTTTCCGTCGTCGTTGTCGCCGTGGTCGTCCTTCCTCCCTCATTGAACGTCGGCGTTTCGTCGTTGTCCCTCCTATTTCGTCCCCATCGTCGTCGTCGTCGTCGTCGTCGTCTTCCCTCCTCCCTCGTCGTTGTCGTCGTCGGCGTCGCCGTCCTCCCTCCTTCCTCGTCGTTCGCGTCGTCGCCGTCCTCCCTCCTTCCTCGTCGTTGTCGTCGTTGCCGCCGTCGTCGTCCTCCCTCCTCCCTCGTCATCGTCGTCTTCGTTGGCGACGTCGTCGTCGTCGTCGGCGTCGTCGTCGTCGTTGTCATCGTCGACGTCGTCGTCGGCGTCGGCGTCGTCGTCGTCGTCGGTGTCGTCGTCGTCGTTGTCGTCATCGCCAAAGTCGTTGGAGACGTCGTCGGTGTCGTCGTAGTCGTTGTCGGCGGCGTCGTCGTCGTAGTCGTCGTCGTAGTCGTCGTCGTTGTCGCTATCGTCGTCGGCGTCGGTGTCGTTGCCAAGTGCCATTTGGTACCCACCGTCACGGTCTTAAGAGGTCTTGCGACCAAGTTGCGGGTGGGAGGGTGGAATGTTTGCACGAGCAGTGGAGAGGACAGCTTCAAATTGAGCAGGTGATTGATTTCACCTTAAATTACATGACAAGCATTGCACACCGTATGTCGAAGCACATCGTGCGGACATCTAGGTTGTAAGAGCCCACTGTTTGAGGTCCACGCTGGCAAACATCTGTATTTCGGTTATAGACGCGAGCGCGCAGGTCTGACGAGGTAGTTAGCGAGTCAAAGGCAGATGTTGAAGCAACGCTGGTGGGTGGTGGATCGTGGACGATTCTGGAGGTGGGCAGTGGTGGTCGTGGCGATGCCGGCTGCCACGATGCACTTCGACCGCCGCTCCTTCTCGCTCAGAGCCCCGTCGCGGTCGCCGTCCAGCGCCGTGAAGCGCTGGCCCGTGCCACCGCTGGCCTGGAATTCGGAGAGCGTCACGCGCTTGTCGCGGTCGGTATCGAGATTCCTGAACGCGGCCTTCCTGCGATCGGCCTCAAAGTACACGTACAGTATGAAGGGCATGAGCAGCAGCCCGAACGGTCGCGGCCTCGGCCCAAACTTGAGGCCGGGGATCACCTCGCGGTACTTCTCTGGCAAGTCTGGGATCCTCCAGATGGCCAGCGAGGGTGAGGTACAGTAGACACATACGATAAGACAACTTTATATCCCAAATCTCGGGGCCCAGTCTTCGCTGATGCTTGAGGGTCAGAAGGTGCCTCAGGGCTTCTGCTGGCTGGCCCCTGGAGCCATGGGGGGTCATGAAGTTTCCATGGGGCACCTGCTAGCAGGCTGATTTCTTGTTTCATGTGCCTACTGTAGGGGCGGGGGCAGGGGGGCGCAACGGGGGCGTCGATTGAGAAAGCACTGAGCTAGAGAATTGAGCTGCCCATTGGGGAAGAGGTTCGCCCAACGCCGAGCGAGGATCCGACGGGTTTGTTCCTGAACCAGGGGTGCGGAGTCGAGCAGGCGGTCCTACCAGGAAGCTGGGAAACAAACGTGGCGGGACATGTGTGGAACGTCCTGATCCTTACGCGAAGGTCAACCCGTATCACAAGGTTGCGCGGTAAGGATGCGAGGGCCTTGGAGGCCTATGTGAATGCTTTTCGAACGAGGTTGGCCAGCGAAAGTCGCCGAGGACGGGCCGACGAGGAAGGATGCAAGGGTACGCTTGTAGAAGAAGAGAAAAGGGCATACACATAAACTTTTGGCGCTCCGCGCGGGTTTCTTGGATCCGCGTTGGAGTCGAGCGCGCCGGGGGCGGCGCCGGAGGCGACATCAGGGGGCCAGACGCCGATCGAAGAGATCTGCGCGGAGCGCCAAACGTTTATGCTCATGCAATTGTTACTGCTTCGACCTTGGGAAGGCTGCCCGTCCTTACTATGCGAGTCGACTGCGCATGCACATGCTCGGAGCCAGCCTCCCCGGCCGTGCGAGGGCACGGCAGGTTCGTGTCGTGACGATCCTGGCGCTGGTTTCTGACACCGATTGGATGGTTCAATCCTGAACGATCGGCAGCTGTTTGATCGCCAGATCGTTCTGTATTGGCTGGTTCTGACTACCTACCAGACCACCCCAACCCAACCCGAAGACCCGAATTTCGGGTTGGGGGGGAAAGGGTTCCACATGTGTTTTTGTCGATGTTTCCTGACCCCCCCCCACTGGAAATCGAGGGTAAATCTGAGCCTTCGGGTTGGGTTGGGGTGGTTTGGTGGGTGGTGAGGTTCTGGGCCACCGGCGGCCTTCAACCCTGAACGCCCGCGGCGGGGTCGCCACGCGTCGACGAGACGCGAACCTGCCGCACCCGGGTCGGGCGAAAGGGGGGGACAGCAAAGGGGGGGTTTGAGAATCAGCTCACGTAGCTGATTCTCCCGGCGCCCCCCGGCGCCGGGAGGCGGATATCTGTATCGAGGAAGGGGCACCTCCGTGGGGCCGAAACCGGCTGCAGGCAGCAGATGTCGTAACCCCCCCTTTCCCAATCCCCCCCTTCCGCCCGACCCGAGCTGACTATGGATCGACCCTCGATCGCCGGACAAAAAAAAAAACGGCGCCCTGGGCAGCCCCCGGCTTTACGGGGGCCGCGCGCCGAACGGGGCGCCCGGGGCCCCCCTTTCGCCCGGCCCGACGCACGTAGCGTTGGAGCGACACGCGGCCACGCGCGTGCCCGGCCCTCGTCGTGCCAGGAGGCCGGCTCGGCGCCGGGCAGCCGGCCTCCTGGCACGGCCTGCCTCCCAGAAGTGCGGGGCGAGGACAGCCCTGGCAGGTCTCCTGCCCAGCTCTGGCACCCCACCATGCTCCTCCTCCTCCTCCTCCTCCTCCTCCCTCCTCCTCCTCCTCCTCCTCCTCCTCCTCCTCCCCTCCTCCTCCTCCTCCTCCTCCTCCTCCTCCTCCTCCTCCTCCTCCTCCTCCTCCTCCTCCTCCTCCTCCTCCTCCTCCTCCCTCCTCTCCTCCCTCCTCCTCCCTCCTCCCTCCTCCCTCCTCCCTCCTCCTCCTCCTCCTCCCTCCTCCTCCCTCCTCCTCCTCCTCCTCCTCCTCCTCCTCCTCCTCCTCCTCCTCCTCCTCCTCCTCCTCCTCCTCCTCCTACCTCCTCCTGCTGCTCCTCCTCCTCCCCTCCGTAGCCACTTTGGCTCAAGATGCATTGCTGCGCAGGGCAACGAGTGGATACCTCTAGTCCGAGGCTAGTCTCCGCGTGTCGGCCTGTTCGCCCAGGTCTGGATCCAGTGGCCACCAGGGGCACTGGACGTGTTCGCGCAACTCCCATTGAGAGGTCACCTCGACGATGGGGACGAAGTATGGGCAGCTGTTCGCCTGGTGCTCGTGCGGGGAATGGAACTACAATTGGCGTATCATCCAGAACGACTACACCTGTGTCTTCTGCAAAGGGCCGATCGACATCTACAAGCCCCCTGAGGCAAATGAGTCGGCCCAGCCAGGAACTCGGGCCAAGGCTCCGTGGGCTCGCGATCGCGACAAAGGCAAGAGCACCACGTCCTCCACCAAGGCCCTACTCGAACAGCTGCCACCTGAGCTGCGAGGATCGGCCACGGCCCAGGCCCTCCAGTCCGAGATGGAGGCTTACGAGAAGGCACAGAGAGACAATAATGCTAAGAAGCCGCAGTCTGCCAGGCAGAGGATGCTACGGGCAGACACGGAGTACGAGCAGCAGACCAGGAAGCTCCAAATGTTGTCGGCCAAGCACGCGGCGGCGCAGAAGCACCTGGACGAATGCGAGGAGGAGCTCAACGACCAATCGCTCCTGGTCCACATGGCAGAGAAAGAGCGTGACGCCGCCTACGCTGACTACCACGCGCTCAGAGATGCCGAGACGCACAGAGGAAATACCAATCCCAACCTCACCTCGGATTGACTCAGAGTTTTGTGTGCCGTCGACGACGAATCGCTGTTTGACGACGTTGAGGAGTTCGGGGATGAGGCGAATCAGTGTTTTCATTGGATTGGAAAGCAGAGTGGCAGTCCCATCGTCAGGCCCTCTTGGAAGGCCAGAAGAAGCTCGAGGCACTCCTGGCGGACATCTAGAGGACGGTGGAGGCTCCTGCAGACAAGACAAGAAAGGCTGCAACCGGGAGAAGCAATACCAGCACCGGGTGGGGGGACGGACGCGGCAGAACCAGGCGCCGACATGGCCAAGGAGGATTCGGCCAAGTCAAAGTCAGACCGAACGCCGGACGAAGATGAACGACGTGAGGCAGCAGAGAAGATCAAGCAGGCTGCCAAATACTCCAGATTTGGTAATAAAAGGGAGGGGGTCTGGACCCTCCAAGACAAGCCATTTCAGACCTCCCCCATGGGAGAACCCTCCAAAACATCGTCCCCAGACCCCCCCAGGCCCTCCAAGATAGCCTGGAAGAGACCCCCCCCGAAATGAGACCCCCTCCCTTTTATTACGAAATCCGGAGAATGCGCAGTCAGCAACAGCAGCAGGCACCAGCTGCACCTGCGAAGAGGCCAAGAAGAGGTTGGCGAAGAAGGGTGCTGGCAAGTCTAGTGCCGGTAGCAGCGGTGCTAAGTCTCAGCAGCTTTGACACGGAGTTCCTCTTTGCTGACATTACACAGTGGGGCCCTCAGGCGGCCCGTTACATTCACAAGGCCAAGGACAACTACAAGGTCATCGCTCTCTCAGAAACTCATGTGGAAGAAGAACAGATCCCTACGGAAAGAGAATTATTACGCAAAGATGGGTGGACATTGTCTGCCACCCCAGCTTCCCCCAAGCACGCGGGTTATTCTGCTGGAGAATGGGTCCTGGCGAGATCCCATGTAGCAACTACCGCCATGGAAACAGTCAGGAAGGCCAATCGGGATGTTGGCAAAAAGGACCTGTTTCGTGGGTTTGCGCCTCTCGTTTGGCATATGCAGCCAAACAATGTTTCGATCATATCCGCTTACCTCCTCCCTGGGATGGGCACTGCAAGGAAAAATGAGGATACGATGAAGGCGCTGGCTGGGTTTCTGCGTATGGTCACAACCCATGGGTCATCGTGGCGGATCGGAACGCGTCGGCGCTAGACTTGATTGAATCCGAATGGCCGAGCAAGGTGGACGGCGAGATCGTGATCCCAGATGTGGCAACCACGTGCGACGAAGGTGCAAAAGGAGGGTTATAGGATCTTGCGATGACCAAGGAAGGGGCTCAGTCACGCGTACCGCTACATGCGGTCACGGATGGACCATGGGCTACGCATTGCGGCATCGAGGTGCGACTCACAAGAGTCCAGCAAAAATGGTGGCACCAATCTCTCGCTGTGGTGCAACATTTGTTTGTTTATCGTAAGCCCAAAGTACAAGCCGCCAGCAACAGCATAATATCGAAGAGGAAGCAACAGGAGAATGATCGGAGGGCCGCCTCTCTTCCGACACCGCTACAGGACCATAAGGTCGAGATGCTGGAACACCTGGAGGACGACAGGGAAGTGGAGGCGGACAAATCTCACATTCCAAAGGAAATAATGGCAGTTTGGATGGCAGACCGCTAAACATGTCATAGAAGGAGGAGTGGGTGTTGCAGAACTCCCAGTACCAGTCACTCAGATGATGCTACGCACCGACACCCAGAAGGCCATTGACATGGAGTACGGGTTGTGGGTCACAGCGCTGGAAGCAATCATCCCGAATCAAGAGAAGGAGGACAAGCGGGCGGCGTGTAGAGACGACATGGGTTTGCCTTAGAATGGAAGACTTCAAAGTCGACGCCTGGCAGAGTGCGCGTTGAAGGTCCGATTGCTGAAAACTGGAGTATTATGAGCACCCTAGTCAGCAGGTTCAGAAAGTTTGTTGGCCTGCAGCTGGACTGGGGACAACAATGTACATTGCGGGAGCGGATCAGGTCACTGAGCTCAGTCACATTGGCAGGTTCTATCACGGATTACTTTGGCAGGATGGGCGAGCAAGATCACCAGCGATGGCAGGACATGACGGTGCGATTACGGCGAGTCTCTGCAGCCACCTGGAAGGAGGTTTTTGAGCAGGATCCCACGCAGCACAAGCAGCCCAATGGCGCGCAGGAGAGCAATGGCAGCAGATTGGACCCAGGGGTTGCCAAGTTAACCAGCAGCATTCCGCACTACCAATGCTACCCGTGCACCAACGTGACCTTGGGACCTCGGTTGAAGACTTGCAGGTTGTTCTTTCGCAACAGCGCGAGCGGAGCGGCATACACGTCTCACGCTCGCGAATTCACGTCCCTTCTCACGCTCGCGAATGTACGTCCCTTACCTCGAATCACGAACACCATGCGGTTCTCGGTGGCCGTTGCGAACACAGCAATGCGGCCATGTTCCCGTCCCCGAGTCCAGTCGTCCCACGCGGCCCGGCCGAGCAGCAGCTGCCGCCGCGAAGTGGGTGCCGCCCGGCCGGCGCGCGCAGCGAGCGAGGCGTCGCGCGACGCGTCCCCTGGGCGGCGGTCGCTGTCGCCGTCGCCGTCGCCCCTGCCGCAAGCACTCCGTCAGCAGCGAACATCCATGCATTCGCGGCAGTGGGCACCGAACCATGGGACAAGGGAGCCACGGTATGAAAGCTGGTGGAACACCATTTAGGCGCTTTCGGAAAAAAACAGGAACCCAAAAACGTTTTCATCTCCTGGGGGCGCATCTTTTACTTCCGCCGCCTTCCGCCGAGCTTCCGCCGGCTTCTGCCGGCGGAGGCGGCCTCGGTTTACTTCCGCCGACCTTCCGCCGCCTTCCGCCGAGGAAAAGATGACACCTCCTTCCCTCCTCGAAGGCAACGCCACGTTTGGAACGCCTTACATACCTCAACGAACGCCCCCACGGTACTCTCGAACATGCCATGGTCAACGTCCGCCGCCGCGCCACGGTCCACGAGAATCGCAAGCCCATGGCGGAGGATGAGCGAGGGGAAAAGGGAGGAGAAGGAGGCCGAACGTCCCCAAGAGAACTCGAATCCACGATCGTCGACTATAGCCCCCTGCACTGGCACTGAGCGGGAGGGGTCGGCTGCGAGGCGCACGACGCAGGCGACATCCGCCCGCCTCGGAATCCGAGGGCACCCATCCGCCGATCCCTCTCCGTCAGCTGTGGAAGGGTGGGCGGAAGGAGAATGATAATGATGATGCTGATGATGATGGTGAAGATGCTGACGATACTGATGATGATGCTGCTGATGATGCTGCTGATGATGATGATGACGATGACGATGACGATGATGATGATGCAGGGACGAGGAGGAGAAGGGGAGGGAGGAGGAGAAGGAGGAGGAGGAGGAGGAAGAGAAGGAGGAGGAGGAGGATGAGGAGGAGTGGGAAGAGGAGGAGGAGGAGGAGGAGGAGGAGGAGGAGGAGAGGAGGAGGAGAAGGAGAAGGAGAGAGGAGGAGGAGGAGGAGGAGGAGGAGGAGGAGGAGGAGGAGGAGGGAGGAGGAGGAGGAGGAGGAGGAGGGGGAGGAGGAGGAGGAGGAGGAGGAGGAGGGGAAGGAGGACGGGCAGGAGGAGCGGCGGCATCCTTCTCGGCGTCGGCGAGGAGGAGACCGACGGGGGCGACGGGAGGACGCGTGCCTCCCCTTCGTCCCCCCTCCCCGCTGGGGAGAGCTGCCGAGAGCTCTCGGAACAGCTCCGCGGGAGGCCCTCGGGGGCTGCTGGAGGAGGCTGCTCGTGGGCGGCTGGCGGAGGCGTCAAAAACGTGCCGAAATGAATGCATTCCACCAGCCCTTTGGGCGACAGGTGGTCTAACGAGGGTCTCTTTCCTCTTCCACAACCCCTCTGCCCTTCGGGGAGGGGAACCCTCACCCTCCCCTCCCTGAGGTTTTGTGGGAGGGGGTCGCAATGTGTCGGCGGCTCCTTTTTCTGCCACTGGGAGGGCCATGTTTTGCCACCCCTCACGAGGATCGTGGCCCCCGAAGGGGGGACGCAAATCTAGTACCCCACTCTTTTGACCGACAGCCTCCAAGATGGCCCCAAGAGGCCCTCCAGGGCTCCCAGGAGGCTCCCAAGAGGGCCCGAAGAGCGCTCCATCGGGGAGGGGGTCTCGGAAGCTCTCGGGGTTTCAATCGGGTACCAGAATGTTTCTTGGAACACCTTCCGGTGTCTTGGGAGGGTTGTTCAAAGAGCTTTGGCATGATGGTCGAAGTTCGAGCATTTTCTAGGAGGTTTCCAGAGAGCGAGGGGGAACGGAAGGATGAGGAGGGCGAGGAAGATACGGAATATTGAAGCGGGACCTGAAGGAAACGGGTCCTGAGCCCTGGGGCACTCCCTCAAGACCACTTCTTCATTATGAACAATTCTCTGACAGTCCGGGGGCCCGTGTAGGGCCCCGAGAGCCCGAAAACGGCGAACAATCTAAGGACCCGTTTCCCTCAGGACCCGTCTCCCCAATGGCGAAAAGAGGATGATGGCTTCGGCCCAGTTCAGGCCAGCTGCTCTGGGCACTCGCGCGTGCTCAATTCAGCCCAACATTCGGCGCCGTTGCCGAGCCTCAGGCCGATACTCCTTCGCAGCAGCTTCTCTCAGGCGAATTCTCTCGGCGAGGGCAACTCTCCGAGTCTCGGAGGACGGGGTGCCCTCGGCGGACGCGGAAGCTCGAGCAACGCGGTGGTCTCGAGCTCGGGTCGACGCGCAACCCTGCTTGCAACCTGGTGTAAAGGGGGGGGTAGCATCGACCTGTCGGGCAAGTCTCTTGTATGTACCTGTACCCTTGAAATACTGAAGCAAAAGCTCCAGCTCTTTCTTGGTAGGAGAGTTGCATTCACGACGCAGCTTGTTTCTCCTGGACTGCTGGGCGCAAACACCACACTCACTGCAAATGACAACTGGATTCGAACAACTCGTATCAGCAGGGCGCTTACCCCCTGACTGACTGCTATGAGGCTGCGGCCTAGAGAATTGCGTGCATCCCCAACTAGATACGCAGATATACCTTCACAACCAGTGGAAGGCTTATCGCGTCTACAACGGAAAGCGCACAGACACATACTACATTCCTCTCCTGTGAGTGTGCTCATCCACTTGTGCCAGCCTGTACGTTGCGCGTAAGCGCTCAGCTCAGACTCACTCAGACGGGCAATCTCTCCTCTTCTTCGAATAACGGCCGGATGGCGGCAGCCAGCATCACGAAGTCAAACGACATGCGAATACCATTATCCTCCGTCTGATATGCCAGCTCGTGAGGCACCTGCTGGTGAGACGGTGATCTCCGCTTGGCACGAGCATCTGCCGACGCACTGCCATCTGTCATCCGCTCCTGCTCACCCGAGGGTGCCGAGTATCGTTCGACAGTCCGATGGGCCTTCACTGAGGGATGGAAACAACGCCCCCACCCTGGGATGAGAAAAACGGACCCCCTCCTGGGAGAGCTCCCCAAAGCCAGAGAGCCGCCAGGACGCCGCGCGACACACGCGATAGGCGGAGTCTACCCTGACAACCCACAAGAGGTTCAGCGCACGGCGGCCCGTAAAATAGGGTAGGCGCGCTGTTGTAAGCCCTTGACTTCGCGTGGGACCCGCTGCGCACACGGAGGAAGCCAGGCATCCGAGGAGCCACCGGCTTGACACAACCATGCGCTGAGAGCCAGCTCGCGGCTGCTCCTCCGTGCTCCTGGCCGCCTTCAGACCAACGGCCCTGTCGTCAGCGTCGACGTCGGCCGTGCGGTCGGTGGAGAAGGCAGGGGAGGGGGAGGACGAGGAGGAGGAGGAGGAAGAACAGAAGGAATGGGGGGAGGATGTGGGAAAAGGTGGAAGGAGGGGGGGGAGAGGAGGGGAAGGACAAACCGCAGGAGGATGAGGTAGTGAAGGAGGCCAGCGCGGAGAAGGAGGAGGGGGAGGACGAGGAGAAGGACATGGACAGGAAATGGGAGCGGGAGGCGGGAGGAGGGGGAGCGGGGAGGAGGAGATGGAGGAGGGGAATAAAAACGAGGATGGGGAAGATGATGGTATCAGCTACAGCTTTGATACGGATCCGAGCAAGAAAGGCGAGCAGTGGCAGCAGTCTCTGGCGCTTTTCGGCCCGACGACACCATCACCCCTCCTTCACTTCCGCCTCCGTCTTGCCTTCCTCCTCCTCAATCAATTCCACCTGTTGCCCTGCTCATCTGCTCCCAATGTATTATACACATCCTTCTCCCTCTGCTGCTCCCCCACGCCAGCCTCCTCGTCATCCTCCGCATCGATGACGACGTTGCCCAACATCGATCCAATCATGCCGATGAGAAACAAAAAGCGCTCGTTGCCACTCGTCTCTTTCCCTGCACACCTTCGCGGACTTCCGTCCGTGAGAAAGAGAGTGAGAGAGAGAGAGAGAGAGAAACGACAGAGAAACTGAGCAATCCAATTGCAACGCTGCCCTCTATTGCCATCTCCTCCCGCAACTTCTTGTGTCGCCCCGAACCCAACATGCTGTCGAGTCCCTCGTCGAATGCCCTAGACAAGAGACAACAGCCTGATGCTCATTCCTTCTTCACGGGGAGTCTGCAGTCGGATTCGGCAACAACATCGAATATGAGGACACCGAGCCCCGGTTACGCCCCACCCTGCAGCGAGAATTTTGAGGACGAACAGGGGGATGCCGAAGTGACACGACGACTGCACGGTCGCCACGGCGCCGAATCATTCCCATGGCCGGTCTCGAGGGTGGCAACAGAGCGGCACAACGACGCCTGGACCCCCCTGGAAACGTTCAGGACCATTCTTTCCGAGATTCTCCAGACGCCTCTGCGCAACGCGAGAACTAGCCGCGAAGCCCCCAGAAACGCTGAGAAAATCTCCGAGACATCATGATCCATGATCTTCCTCCTCGCCAGGGAAGGAGGAGGAGGAGGAGGAGGAGGAGGAGGAGGAGGAGGAGGAGGAGGAGGAGGAGGAGGAGGAGGAGGAGGGAGGGATGAGGAGCAGAAGTGGGAGAAGGGTCAGCAGCGGGAGTGGGAGAAGCCGGCGATGTTATCCTGGGCTGTCCGAGACACGTGGGGCCGCGGGTCTGCGAATACTGTCCGAGGCGGCGGGGGGGGGGAGGGGCAGGAGCAGGCGGCGGAAGGGCGGGCCGGGGGGAGGTGGGGCAGCGGGAGGGAGCAGAACCACGGGGGACGCGGCCCTGAGGGCCGACGTTGCGAACCAACTGGTGCAAGGTGACAAATCACGACTGGAGCTCCTGACCCGATCTTTCTGTGTTCGGGTCGGATCGATCTGTGAGAGTCCCCAGGCCCGAACACGAGCGAACACGCCCAGCATGACAAACATGCAACAAACCGATCTCAGGGGAGGAGGAGAGAAAGGGGAGAGGGGAGGGATGTTGGGAGGAGGAGGAAGAGGGAGGAGGGGATGAGGAGAGGAGAGAGGAGGGGGAACAGGAGGAAGAGAGGAGACGGAGGAGGATGAGGAGGAGGGGAGGAGGAGAGGAGCGGACGAGGAGAGGTGGGAGGAGGGAGGAAGCAGGAGGGAGGGAGGAGGGAGTGCAGAAGGAGGAGGGGAGGAGGGAGAGAAGAGGAGGGAAGAGGGCAGGAGGGGAGGAGAGAGAGAGAAGGGGGAACAGGAGGAAGGGAGGAGGGAGGAGGGCGGAGGGGAGGATGGGAGGAGGGAGATGAGAGGAGGGAGGAGGGTGAGGAGAGAAGAGAGGAGGGGAAGCAGGAGGGAGGGAGGAGGGAGGAGTGCGGAGGGAGGAGGGGGGGAGGGGGGGAGGCAGAAGTGAGGAGGGAAGGTGGAGGGGAGGGAGGGGAGGGAGGGGAAGCGGGAGGCCGCCGCCCGGCCTGCGACCCAGGCGGGGCCCGCCGCGCCGCCGGGCGCGCGCCCTGCACTCCCGGGCGGGGGGCGACGACGGGTGCAGGCTGCCCGCTCTAGACGCCGCGAATCCAGCGCGCGCCCCGCGGATCCGGAGGCTCCGGCTGCGGCCGCTGCCCAGCT